GGACCCTTTCAAAGATTTTTATGATATGGGATGTTAGTGCTATTGGTCTGTAGTTCTTTGCTGTTGCTTTACTGCCCCCTTTGTGGAGTGGGGCTATGTCTGTTGTTTTTAGTAACTGTGGGACGACCCCGTGTCCATGCTCCCTCTCCATAGGATGGAAAAGGCTCGTGATAGGGGCTTCTTGCAGTTCTTGATGAACACAGAGTTCCATGAGTTGGCCCGGGGGCCCAGAGTGCATGGGCATGTCATTTATCGCCTGTTCGAAGTCATTTGGCGTCAGGATAACATCGGATAGGCTTGTGTTAATCAAATTTTGTGGCTCTCTCATAAAAAATTAATTTTGATCTTCGACTCTCAGTCTGGTTAGCGGCTTGCTAAAAACTGAGTCATATTGGGACTTGAGTAGCTCATCATTTCCTTGCTGTCATCTGTGTAGGACCCATCTTGTTTAAGTAGGGGCCCAATACTGGACGTTGTTCTCGATTTTGATTTGGCATAGGAGAAGAAATACTTTGGGTTTCTTTCGATTTCATTTATGGCTTTTAGTTCTTCCCGCGATTCCTGACTCCTAAAGGTTTCTTTTAGCTTAATTTTCGATGCTTGCTATTTCTCTGACCAGTGTCTCCCTACGCATTTCAGATATATTGACCTCTTTTAGCCGCTCTGTTATTCTTTTCCGTCGCCTGTAAAGGGAGCGCCTGTCTCTGTTTTACATCTACTCCTCCTTTTTCTTAGAGGAATAAGCCTTGTGCATACATCGAGTGCCCCCGAGTTAATTGTTCTAGGCATAAGTTGGGGTCTGTGTTGCTTAGTATATCTTCCCAGCTTATATCGGTTAGGACTTGGTTTACTTGGTCCCACTTTATGTTTTTGTTATTGAAGTTGAATTTGGTGAAGGCTCCTCGTGACTAATCTCATTATGTCGGTCTGGGGCTCCGCGCATACATGACTGAACCTCAATTATGTTGTGATCTGAGTATATTGTTTTTGATATGGTGATATTTCTTATCAGATCATCATTGTTAGTGAAGATGAGGTTAGTGTATTCTCCAGTCTAGTAGGCTCTATTATTTGCTGGTTTAAATTGAATTTTGTGCAGAGATTTAAAAGCTCGCGTGAGTGTGAGTTTTCATCAGAGCTGCCTCCTGGTGTTATTACTGCAACAATATTATTTGCTATATTCCTCCATTTTAGGTGCCTTAAGTTGAAATCCCCCAGGAGCAAGATGTTGGGTGCAGGAGCTGGAAGGTTTTCCAGACAGTGGTCAATTTTTAACAGCTGTTCCTGGAATTGCTGGGATGTTGCATCCCGGGGGCTTGTAGACTATCACAATGACTAGGTTTTGGTTCTCGACCTTTACTGTTAAAACTTCAACTACATCATTTGAGGCATTTAGCAGTTCTGTGCAAACAAGTGACTCTGCAATGTACAGGCCAACCTCCCCCCTTTTGCCTGTTCACTCTGTCACATCTGTATAGGTTGTAACCTGGGATCCATATTTCGTTGTCCAAGTGATCCTTTATGTGGGTCTCAGTGAAAGCCGCGAACATTGCCCTTTTCCTCTGCAAGCAGTCCACGGATGAAAGGTATTTTGTTGTTTGTTGCTGGCTTTAGACCCTGTATATTTGCAAAGAAGAATGTTATCGGACTGGTGGTATTGTTGGTACTGGGGGGGGATTTTTTTTCCGGCATTAGTTTCTGTATCTGTTGGTTTGGAGTGGAGGCCATCGACTGTGGTTCCACTCCAGGAATGACTGGATTTGGTGTACGATTTCTGCCATTTCCTGCCAGTTTTTTTTCCTTCCTGGCACTAAAAAACCTCTCCCTCTTGAGTGGCTGTGGCTACCCAGGTTTTCCCCTGGCCTGGATGTTTTGTATCTTTTTGTCCCCTTTAGATGGTATGCCTGGCAATTTAAGTTATAGCACAGTCTTTCCTGTACTGAAGAGGTACACAGTTCAGGGTGAAAAAGCTTACAGGAAGGGAGTTTGCATTTTCCTGTTGTCATATGGGCATGGCATTTCCTAGGGTGGTCATAGTTGCACGTCCCATCTGTTTTTCCAGATTTCCCATGCCAGCAGATACCGAGTGCATAGTATGTGCACAGGCTTGGTTTCCGTTTGCCTTGGGTTTCTGTGACTGTATTCCCTGTTGGTGCATGTTTCCCTGTCTTACTTCTATCCTCCCTAGCACCAACAATGGAGCTCCCACCATTTGTTTTTGGTAATATATCCTCACTATTGCTAGTGGAGTCCTCTTGTTTGCTATTTCCCGCGGTATTTCTAGTTTGCAATATTGGTTTTATCTTATCTTTGACTACACTTGTTTCCCTACTATGGCTCCTGTCCCCTATGGGGTCATTTATATGTATTCCTTCCTGCGTATAATTCCCGACTACCTGGACAAAATCTTCAGCTTCACCATTACTGTCTCCCAGGACAGCATCTCCAGCTTCCCCATTACTGTCTCCCAGGACAGCATCTCCAGCTTCACCATTACTGTCTCCCAGGACAGCACCTCCAGCTTCACCATTACTGTCTCCCAGGACAGCACCTCCAGCTTCCCCATTACTGTTATTCTTTTCTTCCTCGGATCAAATCTATTTTGTTTTCAATAAACCGGCCGTATCCCACCGAGGCAGAGTGGCCCAAAATGAAAAAACAAAAGTTTCTCTTTTTTAATTTTAGTAATGTATACAGGAGAAGGGGTTACTAGCCCCTTGCTCCCGGCATTTTAGTCGCCTCTTACGACACGCATGACTTACGGAGGAAGAATTCTGTTCCACTTCCCCATGAAGATAAGAGAAAATAAACAAGAACAAGAACTAGTAAGAAAATAAAATAAAGCAAAGAGAGGTGTGTATATAAATGCTTGTACATGTATGTGTAGTGTGACCTAAGTGTAAGTAGAGGTAGCAAGACGTACCTGAAATCTTGCATGTTTATGAGACAGAAAAAAGACACCAGCAATCCTACCATCATGTAAAACAATTACAGGCTTTCGTTTTACACTCACATGGCAGGACGGTAGTACCTCCCTGGGCGGTTGCTGCCTACCAACCTACTATTTAGGGTCAAATCCAATTGTCCCCCATTAAATAGCAGTATAACAACAGTCACCTAATACCCAGGTACCTAGGGGCAGCAGGTGCAAGAAGAAGTCATACGTGTCGCCTCGCCCGGGGATTAGACTCCGGTCATTTTGGTTGTGAGTCGAATGCTCTAACTGCGGAACTGCAAGCCACCCTCTAAGGAAGTGCAGATTATTATTTTTAGTTATTATATTTTTTATTAAGTTATTATCATTATTATTAGTAGAAAGTGCTAAGCATGGATCATACAGCACCTGAGGAATAAGAAATTACCAGATTTAATCCAAGGGGCTAGTAGCTTCAAATACTCGGACCAAGAGTTGTGTACCGGCATCTGGGTACCCCACCCCCTCCAATCTTCCCATGGTGCCAACCCTGTCGCTATGACAACGAGTATAAACAACAACTTCCCCCAGGCAGGGTCTGGCACCGGTCCTCGGCACCGAGAACAGTTCTTTATTCTTCCCGAGAGCACAATACAACTCACACCCGCGTTATAGCAATACACCAAGTGTACGGTAGTCGATTTTTGTCTTGTATCCCGCGATGTGTGGACGTTGGTGTGCGGTAATATCCTTCACAGCGTGTGTGTTGTCGTTCAGTGTGTCAGTCGTATCGATAGGTTTGACAAGAGTGTAGTGTAAATGCTGTGAATTGTGTTTACTAAGCTGGTAAACTGGACTCCTTCAGTATTTTTCCGTGATCACTAAATTCTGCGTTTTCAATTAGAAACATAAGCTAATAATAATAATAATAATAATAATAATAATAATAATAATAATTGTAATAATAATAATAATAATAATAATAATAATAATAATAATAATAATAACTGTAATAATAATAATAACTGTAATAATAATAATAATAATAATAATAATAATAATAATAATAATAATCTTGATTACTTATTATCAAACATCAAAAATACAAGAGTTAGGTTTACAAATCGTGATGATATAAATTTCAACACTTACAACTACAGCAGCAACTTGCAAAGTGGTCGTGTAATGTTGCAGGTGTCAGGCTCGGTCTTGTTGCAAAGTACAGATGACTGAACCAAACACGACGTGGGGTGGTCACTCTCCTGAACACTGTTGCTAACTGACCCACTTATCGAGAGACATGCAAATGAACCTACTTGGTATCTGACGATATGTTACATGAATCTATGTGATATATCAAATAATAACACCTGAACATATGTAATAAGTCGCTGTATGCCATTGAAAACCAGGATATCACAAATTGTTAGAAAATACCCTAAATTTGTCTGATATGAAGAATAAAAAGGAACAATACTGTGAATGGAACAATAAACAAATAACCTGCACATAGGAGAACGAAACTAATGACGTTTCGGTCTTGCTTAGACCACTTTCCTTGTAATGGGGAAAGTATTGACTGTACGAACAAAAATAGTATTGTAATTGTAATTCTTTTAGGGCATAGTTCCTGGTCTATAGTGTATTCATATGCGCACAGGAAGAAGCTGAGATTCTAAACTATTAAGTTTAGTGTCAGTTTAATATCTTCATTAAGCATCCCATACCCATCCTGTGGGCGATAGTCAAAAGATTACAGAGGTACATAATGGGTTCCATTGGGCCGCAAAGTTTTGATATCTGAACAAGTTACGAAGGTAATGAGCTATTTACATATTTATATATACACTTGTTCATGATGACCTCAGTGGAAAGCTAGTTTCACACTCAGAGATTTTTTTTTTCGTATGCTGAGGAGAGTATCAAGCATAGTGATGGTAATTATTGCGGTGAAAATTTAAGAAAATCAGAAGTCATCTACTGTAACTATATCTTGGGAGACAGTAGGTATCAGCAGCATACAGCAGGTGCCAGCAGGTATAAGTAGGTGGCAGCAGAAGACAGCAGGTGCCAGTAGGTGTAAGCAAGTGCCAGCAAGTACTAGCAGGTGCCAATAAATACTAGCAGGTGCCAGCAAATACTAGAAGTACCAGTAGAAGAAAGAAGGTGCCAGCAGGCACTAGCGGGTGCCAGCAGGTATAAGCAGGTGAGAGCAAGTGCTAGCAGGTGAGATCAAGTACTAGCAAACAGTGTAAGAGAGAAGGTGCCAGCAGGCACTTGCAGGTGCCAATAGGAACTAACTGGTGCCAGTAGAAGACAGAAGGTGACAGCAGGCACTAGAAGAAAGGTGGCAGCAGACCCTAGAAAGGTGCCAGTAGAAGAAAAGTGTTAACAGGTACTAGCAGGTGCCAATAAAGTGTCAGCAGGTACTAGCAGGTGTTAGTGGAATAAAGAAGGTGTCAACAGGCACTAGCAGGTGTCAGTGGAAGAAAGGTGTCAGCAGGAACTAGCAGGTGTCAGTAGAAGAAAGGTGTCAACAGGTACTAGCAGGTGTCAGTTGGAGGAGGAAGGTGTCAACAGGCACTAGCAGGTGTAAGTAG